GCATTTTTGTTGTTAAACTCTTACATTGACTTCATTGTGGCTTTACTTTCCCTGTATTGTTTTGGTTGAGGGACTTCTCAGCTATAGTGGTGTGATTTCTTTCATGTTGGACTATTTCTATGTATTCCAAGCAGCAAACATCACATGCAGGTCTTTATTTGGGCACTGCAAAGTGATTTAATAGGAAGCTGCAAAAGGGAGTGAGGCAGCTGCTGGAGCTGTGGTTTAGTTAGTTTTGGTGTAGCTCTGTAATAAAACCTGCCATATAGCAAGCCCAGAACTTGTATTAATTCACGTGACAATGAAGAATATAAATTACAGTCTAGAAGACAATCAGCTTCTCTGTGTTCTGGAAAAGCCTGTGAAACCCAGACTATCCATAAGAATGAAACACAGGAGAAATGGGGTTGGGGAAATAGAAGAAACAGAGCTGTGCATTACTGACATGTCAGGAAAGCATCTGGCCTTGTGTATCTGATTCCCAGTACACTGTAACTACAAATGAACCTATAGCTGTGCATCTACCTTAAGAGATCTCAACCTTAAGAGAACTTCGTTGTTTTTACTGATGAGACCTCATAAATAATCTCTTACAACTTGTTCTGAAATAAACAGAGCTTTTTTTCTTCTTTGAATGTATCTTCCATTGATTGTGCTGAGATGCTAATTGCAAATTTGGAGGTAAATCTTACAAGAGAGCTGTTCCCCTTCCCTCCTCTCCTCCCTTAGCAACTGTCTTGGAAAGTATTCTCTTGAAAGACATCATAAAGCCCAGACAAATTTTGACATTCCATATATAATTATGAAAAACTGAGATAAATCACTTGTAATAATTCTAAGTTACTGTTGTGGTATTTGGTAAGAAATTTTTAATGTATAAGGCTTGTTTGTATGTGCAGTAAACACAGATTTTCTGTATGGAACTAAATTAGATGCCAGGTGGTGTTGAGGCTATTTGGGAGCTCCTTCATCTATACATCCAGTTACCTTCTAGGAGTAGATGTGTTTTCTTGCTAGACAAACAGTAACTGTATAGCAACACTGGCAGGTTATAGAAATCCTCCATGAATTTCAGAACACAGGACCAGAACTTTATCCCTGCTCCCAGCATAAACCTGACCTTGAATACTGACTGATGTGGCTGCTTTTGTTGGATATTATATATTGATGAGTAGATAATTTGTATCGATGAATGTAAAAAACTTACTGAACTGAAATGGAAGCCTTCTGGATGCAGAGTAATTCTTTCAGTAGGAAGATCAGCTGATTAATAAGCCTCTCAAGTGTTTGCTACTTGTACTTGCTATCGCCAAAACTGTAAATGAAGCATGACTCCTGTTGCTTGTGAAACTTGAGCAGACAGACAACAGTAAGCTAAGTAGAACAAGTACTAACAAGCATGGCACCTGAATCTGTCTAAAAGAGAAAAAGGTTGCTGCAGCTTTTGCTCTGATGTACTTGTGTGTGTGCATGGCTAAGCAATTTAAGAAAGCAAACCCAAGCAGTTACTTAGACTGTATAAGATGGTTTGGCTGTTTACCAAAGGTAGTTTACAGAAGTCAGCTCTCTAAGACAATTTCTTCTCAATGTAATACTTAAACTAACATTTCGCTTTCTTTTCTCTTAATGCTGGCATTTAGTATACGCTCCATACAACATTCAATTAGTATGCCTATTATGAGGTAATGTATGCATAATCCAGCTGTTTGGTTTATTTATTTTCATGTGTGGGATCAAGTCAGATTAAGCTTAAGTCAACTAACATAGTTTTATAAAAAAACAAAAAACACACCCTGCTTTGTAGTAGATTTCCTGTACTAACATATAGGATAAAATCTGTTTTATTTCTGGTTAACAGAGGTGTTTATCAAACATCTGGAAAGTGACATTTCCCTACCATTTGGAAAACTGTAACAGCTTTTCCCTGTCTGATAGAGTGTAATGCTACTAAGAGATTCCAAGTTTAAAAGGCAGTAGCTTGGCATACGTTTTTGAAAATGAAAGTTAGTAAGAAAACCCCTGTGGTTTCACAAAAAAGTCTCTTGGTGATCTGGAATGCTTCCCTTTTCTCTCTGTTTGCTTGGCACTGTGTCCCTCCATCTCCTGAGAGTCTGGCTTGATGCATGTGTCACTGATTTGCTTTCCCAGGAGAAAGAGTGCTGCTAACTGTGGGTGACCTACACAAATTCCAAGAAAAGGAAGAAGGAAAGCTGCAGACTTCTTTTGAAAAATACCCTTGTGTTCAATATTTATACAATACATTTTTGAGTAATCCTTAATCCTCGCCCACTGAAGGCAAGCATTTTCCATCCTATGTAAAGGCAGAAAAAGTGTACAAAGCATTGCACAAACTTGCACATAGCTACTTGGAGCAGTAAGCCACCCTTATGACCCTAATGAATTATTATTAATTAATAATTATAACTAATGAATGATGATTAATTATTATCCAGCCCTCAGCTCTGGAAATCCCAAGCTGTCCTGCTTTTTGTATGTAGAACTTACTATTTGTAATTACAGCTGCCTTTGGCACTTAAAGGCAAGGGAGAATCTCACATAAACTGAACATGTTAGAAGAAAATGCCACTGTGGTGAAGCATGTTTTATTTATTGAACATGTAGCAAAGTAAACTGAACTAGTTTTCCTGTAAAAAGTGAAAAAACTGAGATGAGCTCTCTTCAGCAATAATGTATTAGGGTAACCAGAAGTGATGACTAAGATTTTCTGAACAAATGCTTTAGGCCAGAAATGTGTTTGAAATCACTGGGAATAATAAGCTAAACCTAAAGTACTTGCTAGTTCTCCCTTCCAAGTTGATATGAAGGATCCTATTGCTAGACCTGGCAATGTTTAGTTGCCAAACATGAAAGTGAGCCTGCAATTTGAGTATGTTTGAATTTTAGTTTTGTAGTACTTGGGGCAATCCAGATGTAAACTATTTTTAGGCTATCTTTAAAACAGGGAAAGATCCCTGAACAAATCTCATGTTGCTGTTGCTAAAAATCAATTGTCTACTTGTTTTGTGATGTTTATGGATTAACTAGATGTGATTTTAATTCTGTGGTTCCTTTTTTTTTATTTTCATAGAAATTCTCCTACGTTCAAATCCTTTGAGGAAAAAGTTGAAAACTTCAAGGTAAGAGTTTCTAAAACACCTGGGTGATTGTGGAGCTGTGAATGTAGAGAAAAGACTCAAGTGGATTCTGGGCAGCTTATTTTTCAGTTACTGGCAAACTGTTGAAGAGGTGCTTAGATGAACATCTTTTAAAGTGCTGTGGAGATGGTTTCTCTGCCTAATGATTTGCAAATAAAATAATGGGGCTGCCTGCACCTCATACAGGATGATGCCTTTAGAAGAACTAATAGCCAGGTAAACTGTACAAAGAACTAGTATTAGGTATCCAAAATAATTAATACCTAATACTAGGTATCCAGAATTGTCTAGGCTTTTATTTCATGCCTTTCTAGGGACTAATACCCTACTCAGGAGAATAGCTTGGGATATGTGTCTCATTTTTGGCATAAAAGGCAAAAGGCCTTTGCACCTTTATTTTTTACTTCACTCCCAAAAGCCTCAAGTGCCAGAAACAACCATTAGTAACTTCTCCAGGTAAAAACTCACTTTAAAAATAACTAATCTGTGTAATCAGAACCAAATTTGACTTCTCCTGGGCACACTGGGCTGGATGAGAAGCATGCAAGTGATAGCAAGGGGAACTAGCCTTCTCATGCAACTAATTGGCATTAATACCCCTGCAGTCCCACAGAGTGTATGCTGCAGAGGGAAGTGAAAAGGCAAACATGTTACCTGGAGAAAATAAAATAGTTGCTCTGTTCCTCTAAGGATCTCAGGTATTGCTGTTGAGACTCAAAACTGTCCAAAGTTCTTTCTTGAGAAATACAGTAGTGACTTTTAACTCTGAATCTCCTAAAGATTTCATGGCTTGAAGGGCTGCATACCTTTTTCCATTTGTAACTGAGGGTGTGTCAACCTTTGGACTCTGGAATCAGCTCTGGAATAAGGGCTGCTTCATGTATTTTAAAGGGAGACTGCTGTGTTAATTGTTGAGTGTTTCCTGCCCCAGATATGTACAGATTTGTTTTAAGAATATTATGGAGGTCTCCTAGACCTGGAAAAGCTGCTTTGTTGAAGAGAGTTATTAAACTCACACAGATACTGGTTTTGTACAGTTAAGCATGTTTGGTGTGCCAAGTAACTACCATGCTTTGTTGGGGTTCTCTCTATGTTCTAGTCTAAAGTTGGAGGAAGCAAACCTGCTGGGGGAGACTTTGGAGAAGTTCTCAACTCTGCTGCCAATGCCAGTGCCACAGAAACTATTGCAGAACAGACAGAGGAAGAGACCCACTGAGACTTCTGTCTCTGTCCTGCTACCCACTGCCAGATGCTGCAAGGAAAAACCAAGCACACTTGTAATATTCTCTGCGCTCTTTCCACTGGATGTGCTTTTATTTAGCACGTAGTTATTTTACCCGATTAACTGATACCAAGCTTGTTTGTGGGTTCAAACTATTTTTGAAACTATAATACATTGTTTGGGGTTTTGTGTGGGAAGGGGAATTTCTATGCCTTTCAAGCATATAAAGGACTTACCTGTAATTTGAAGACAACCTTTAAAATATAGCAATGAAAAAAAACTCTTTTGAGAAGTTAATTATATTGTACAGATACTGTGGATACATAATTTCTTTCCAATCTATAGCTACTGCTCAAATTAACCCTTACAAATCTGCTGCTGCCAAACTGAAGCTTGTTACTTCACTCCCTTGTGATTGATTCAGTTGAGTGTTGCCTGCAAGGGACACTGGACTAGGAGACCGGACAAGGAGGAGTGATCACTCCCAGCTAAAGAAAGACTCAGTTTCAGCAGGCTTTACACAGGTTATAGCAGGATCACACATAGGTAGGAATGTACTGTCTTTTGAGCGTGTTCCTCATATAGCAGGTATGGATAAGTAACACAGAACATGTAAAACTTACCCATCTGTCTGTGCATTGTCCACCTCAGAAACTTCTGACCAATGCAGATGGAAGCAAGATGCCTCATAGTGCTGGTTTGGTTCAGTCACCATAACATTTTCAGTCTTGTTTTTTGCACAGGACGTCACTGTGGTAAGATTACACTCTCTTGAACATTTGACCAGTCACAAATAGATTCATCTTCATTCACATGTGGTGGTGTCACAGTCATACTAACAAAGCATGGAATGGAAGAAAAAGCCTGACTCCAGAAGTGGTTAATTTTTAGTCATCAAAAGAATTGCTCCTGTATTCTAATGTTGTTTTCCTTGTAGGCTGGACCCTGAAAACATCTGCTACACCATCTTACTCTTTTTTTATGTATTTAAGGCCTGTACCTCAAGAATACATCTGTTCCTGTTCCCAGAAGTCTGTTTTGAGAGGTGCAGAGTGTCACCACTCAGCATAGGTCTCCTAAAAGATGTGCCCTCCTACATCTTGTTTTGTCTGCTGTACTCCTCAAATTTCTTGTTTCATGTGTTTCTGCCACGTGGCTAGGACATTTTATCACCGTGCTTAGAACTGGAAACAAGTTTTGCTACATTTGTGTGAAATCCATGAAACTTCAACTGCTACAAGTGTCTGGAGGAAAAAAGTTGGCTCCTGACAAACTTGCTATCATGTCAAATGTAGAATGTATGCTTAATTACATGTGAGAAGCTTAATAAAAGTGTATGTGAGGAATGTATTGTCCTGTGAACATGGAGGATAATGTAAATGAGTAAGGAAATTTTATTTCTAATTGAAACAGTCCTTTAAGTTTGGTTCAAAGCAATGCTGATAGATACTACTGCACTGCTGGGAATCTCTGAGGCTGAGCTTGGCATTTCTAGAGACGACTGAGCCTAGATTGCCTTCTAGTGGTTTACACAGAATTACAAATCACAGAACTTTTAGGGTTGTAAGGGACCTCTGGAGTGCATCCAGCCCAAACTCCTGTTGAGGCAGGGTCACCTCTAGAGCAGGTTGCACAGGAATGTGCCCAGATGGGTTTTGAATGTCTCCAGAGTGAAAATCATTACATTCTTTGGCAAACTGTTCCAGTGCTCTACCACTACATAAAATTAAACTGCCCTGGTTACATTGTGAAGTTCAGAAAACAGGTTGACATGTTCCCTCAGCCTCTGACAGCTCTACTGTGGAGAGAATTGAATGTATAAAGAGAATGGAGCTCTTCCTCTTTTGGATCAATAACCATGTAGGGCAGGTTCTTCTGGAACATGATCCTTATTGGATGGGTCTTTTATTTATTTATCTAACTGACAAAGAGAAATGTCATCTAGTCCATAGTTGAGCTTTCTGTTTTCCTGAAGGAAGGCTTTTTTTTTTTTTTATAGGACATATGGCAGTCCTTTTATTAGAACACATTATTACACTCCAGGAGCTTTTGCTGCATCTTCCTCTGCCCATACTTTCCTTTTCTCCATGGAGGTGGTTTTGGGGCTGCTGTGATCACTGAAGCTTTGAAACACGTATCAGTTTGAAACACAGAATCAGTTAGGCTGGAAAATACCTCTGAGGGCAGGGAGTCCAACCTGTGACCAAGCAGCACCTTGTCAACTAGACCATGGCACTAAGAGGGGCTCCAAAGGGAGTGGCAGAAGGTTGTGTCAGGGAATGCTCAGCTTGGGTATTACAAGGTTTTTTACCCAGAGGGTGTTTGGGCACTGGAACAGGCTTCCCAGACAAGTGGTCACAGCACCAAGGCTGGCAGAGTTCAAGAAGGGTTTGGACAGTGCTCTCAGGCCCAGGGTGTGACTCCTGGGGGACACCTGTGCAGGACCAGGCGTTGAACTCGATGATCTTTGTGGGTCCCGTCTAACACAGGTTATTCTACGAAGTGCCACGTCCAGTCCTTCCTTAAACACCTCCAGGAGTGGTGACTCCACCCCCTCCTTGGGGAGCACATTGCAACGTGTAATTACCTTTCCCGTGAAGAAATTCTCCCAGATGTCCAGCCCACTCTCTCCCTGGCGCGGCTCCAGCTCCGTTCCCCCATCCAGTCGTTGTCGCTTGGGGGCAGCATGGCGCCCGCCGTCCCTCACCCAAGATGGCGCCGTCCTCCTCAGCCCGGCGCGCTGCGCCTGCGCGGGGAGCGGAGGCACCNTCTTTAGCAGTAAAATTAGGATGGTGTGCTTGGCAAGGCCTGCACTCTGGTAAGCTGCAGCACGAATGATTTGTCAGGAGCAAACTCTGCTCCTGGTGTGCACAAGGAGGGTTACAGGTTTGTAATATATCTTCTGTGCCATTTGTTTTCCTGTTACTCCACCACGAATCAGTTGTGGAGAGAGAAATGCTATTTATTGAGGGTGCAGTAAGTAGAATTCTGGAGCAAAGGACCACCCCATCAACAGCTGCTGACTCCTGAAAGGTGTAAGGGTGTAAGCCCTTGACTGAAGGGTGTAAAAGATTAGTCCAAAACCTAGTTCACCATTACCAGACAGGAATAATGTCAGAGGGCTGGTAGCTGGCAACCTTCATCTTCAGTGTTGTACCCAAATGGATTTTCCCCAGATGCTTGTTGGGAATCCAGGGGTATGGGAGTGTGAGAGGATGGAACTTGGGAAAGAGTGAGTGGTAAAATAAATTTAGAGATTTTATGAATAACCATCACTTTCTCGTGCAGTGCATTGAGTTTTGTCATGGTGATTTTTCCCGTAGCTTGTGACAGTGCCCATTAGCAGACAGGTAGGGAAACAGAAAAAAAGTTCTTTGTGTGTACTGACATATTCCAGAATATCTTTTCCAGACTGAAAACCCCTGACCTCTGCTTATTCCTCAGGTGGAACTGGTTCCATGCTGGTGTTTATCCTTGACAGTTGTCTTTTTGTAACTTTTTTCAGTTCTGTTTGACCACACCTGTATCTGAGATTATTTGAAATGTGTTCAGTAGGATATGGAGATTAATGCTGCGAATTATTGTGACAGGACTTGTTTGGTAATGCAGGTCGCTGAATCCAGGACCTGATATCCCAAATTACTGCATAATCTATAACATTCAGTTTTCCATTGAAAATCCACACTACTAGAAAGACTGGCTGTGCAAAGATCAAAAGTTTTCCTAACTCATGGGCTCAGGTGTTGTCCAAGGGGATGTCCACAGAAGAGTTTAAGAACAGAATCACTTGATGTAGCTGTAGCAGATACTGAATGCTACTTTGGGGATTTGGGGATTCCCTTTTTGTTTTTCTGTTGAAGTGAGTAGCTGGAAACATTATTTTCTATCTACATAATCTCTTTCTATCTGTAAATGAATTGTTATCAAGCTGTTAAAGCTTCTTAATTAACTCAAATGTTCCATTGTATTCACAACATTTTCAAGTGGAATTGTATACACGAATACATAATGCATTACTAGAAATCAAACTAGGGTTTTGAAATGAATATCTGGACTACAACTCTGAATTTCTGTACACTTTGCTGAGCTACTTGTTCACTTGAGCCAGAAGGAAAGTGGCTTGCTTTGTAGTGCCTAGTGATGTTCAAAGCATAATAATGAGATGAAGATTATCATGAGTCTACTTCCATGCTGCTCTTAGCCCAGGTAGTGCTCAGTGAGTGTGAGTGTGATGAATGTTTATTCACTGATTGCTCTTTGAGGAGTTTACTGAAGAGGGAGTGGGTTTTGGTGAAAATGAGTTAGTGGTAGAAGGTAGCCTGAAACAAGAGGGAAATGAAAGGGATCTGACTGCAGTGTAATCTGTTCATTTTGTGTAGTTTTCTTGAAATCATGTCATCACCGCTTTTAGCTGATACTTGATTATTAGAAAGTATATTACTTGGTGAATAAACTTACCACAGCTGGGAGCAGTCCTGATGCTACTTTGGTAAAGCTGGGTAATACTTATGGTAGGATGCATTGGATGCTGATGGAAAAACTCAAAAATTCAGAAGATTTTTTTGATAAGATCCTTCTAAGAGGAGCACACACTTCCTTCTGGAGAGGGTGTGATGACTTTAGCTGTAGTCCCTTGTGGGGGTCACAGCAACTGCAGAATCTGCTCTTTGAAGCAGGGGGAATATGGCCTTGCTCATCCCATACCTGAACTACAGTCAGAGGAAAACCTGTGTTCCTTATCTGAGCTGACAAGTAGTGCCTGTCTTTTGCTGTGCTTCATCCTTTAAGAGCCAGAGGTGGTGTTTGGATTCTTTGTGTTTTTCTTTCTTTTGGGAAGAGGCTTGGTAATGTTTCTGTATGGGTTTCCTGTGTCAGCTGTTCATTCATTTTTGAAACTGGATGAACTGGCTCATATTTGGTTGGCAGTGGCTCAGGTTAGGCAAATATAAGTAAACTTGATAAATGGGCATGTTGACATGTGTTTGTTTTCAGATGATTCAAAAAACATGGTGATGATATTTTTCCTAGGCAGCTCTTTTAGGCTTTTTTGCAGCAATGTGTGCTGCTGACCATACCTCAGAGTTGCCTGGTGGTGTCTCTGCTGTGTTTGTAATTTTTTAGGGGTTTGTGTTTGTGTTTTAGCTTTCACCTTCAGTTTACATTTATGTTGTTACTGTTTTGTAAATAGTGAAACTTACAGACAAGACACTTAAATGTTGAGTAAAATTGTTGAAAAGGTAGCAACTTGGTAATCCCAATATCCTGATAAACCCTTACAGACAGCTTGCTTCTTGCTGTGTTTCCCTTTTGCATTTTTATTATATAAGTTTTGCATTATAAACAAAGGAAAAAAGACAGGTTTAAAGTTCTTTTTTTCCTCTATGGAATTGCTTAATGAAATATTTTAGAAGGATCAATGCTGTAAGTGTTACCTTCATTAATGGATTAAAGCTGCTTGCCTAGAAAAATAGGAAACCTTGTCTTTAGGGAGGATAAGATGATTTTTGATACAGGTAGAGAAATGTTTTTTGAGCTGTGTTGTTAGCTCACTTACCAAAGTTTGAAGAAAACGTAAGAATAAAGACACTAATTAAGAATAAATGCACATATTTTTCTTCACTGTGAACTAAGTAGTCTAAAAATGTTTCAGATATGAGTGGTGAAGTTTGTCAAGTGTCCTTTTAGGTGGAAATGGGCTATCATTAAGTTAACTTTGCTGCTAATCCGCTATATGTGTCACTGTGTGATAAAGCTGCTCTGATGGGACTTTTTCATGTGAGAGTAGCAGGGTACAAGCATCAGGGGCTGGTTACACGAGCAGAAAGTTGTCCTTGCTCAGAGGGAGGGATGTGCAGGGCCCAGCTGGGCAGGGATGCTGCAGCGAGGCCTGGGTGAACATCCCCGCCCGGCACAGCAGAGGGCGCCGCTTGTTTCCAGATACCGCAGCTAAAGCAGCACGTCAGAGGAATTTCCTATTTAATTCCTTGAATACCCTGTTGGAAGGGAAAGCAGGTATTAAGAAGAAACGTAACTGATTTTGTGTAAAGTTCTGATAGAAGGGATTGGATTGGTATCAGTATATTATAATATCTAATTTCTGAAAGGAAGAGATTAGAAGTTATTCTTCCAGGCACATACATGTTCTTAAATTGACTTAGCTGTGGGTTCTTTGTGAAAGGATTAGTAAATTTGAGGAGGATATCTGTGTATTTAAATGTCACTATTTAAAAAATAAAATATCAGTATTCATTAGGAAAGAAAATGAAAAAATATTTTCATAGGCCATATAAAGGGCTGTTTTTTCTGTTTATGTTTTAGGGGAGAAATTAAAAACTAAAACACAAAAGTCACAAGTTAAAAGGAATGTATTACATTTCTGAAAGCCACATGGGTATCTTTATAAAGAATGTGTAGTCGTCTTGCTTGTGCAGTATTTGGACATCCACAGTTCAAAATAAATGTGTGACACTGGACATTTTGAAATAAAATAGTAAAAAAAAATTAGAATTATTTTCATCTAATAATTGATGGGAAATATTTCTCTCAGTCTGCCCACCTAACTTAGCATTTAGAAGATGATTTTGCTGAAGTTGCAGTTATTTGAGAGCAGAAATGCTGATTAATATTTAATGCAATTTTTACTTGTAATTTTCATAGCGTAGTATTTCTTAGTATACCTGTAATTTTTGTGTGACTGGAGTGCTTTGCTAGTGCTAATAAATAACTAATAAATAACATTCTTTGTTCAATTACAAATATGACAGCATTTTATAAAACCTATATGCCAAGCACAGAGGTCGCTGTTTCAGGCAGATTATCTTCTGGCCAGCATTCAAGTGCTGGAAACTGCTGACTGAGAGAGGGACCCCACTGCCAGCTGTGGGGTTGGGGGATCTGGAATGAGCAGTCTTTACCTGGAAGTTTCTCTCGATTTGCTTTGCTAGATTGTAATTCTGTGTTTGAGAAACTTGGG